TAATAATATAACTAACTTTTCGCCTCACGTGATGAATGTTGATGTTGCCCGTATCTATTTTCGGTCAATTTAGCTCTAATGCAATTTAATGAGCTGGGGTCGAACAAAATGTGGGTGCTCCGGTATCCGCATTTGGCGTATAATTGCCTATTCCATTACTTCGACAATGGCACCCAGAGACCGGGGTAGGGATGTAATAAAATAGACTATTAATATAATTTTTAGAAAACAAACATTTTTTAAACTTTTGAAGGAACATACTATTTTTTCTAACACTCTGTATGAGAAAATCGATGTTTTTTTACCCGGCTGCCTCAGACGGAGGGTTATGTTTTTCGAGAGTATGTGAGTGTATTTAAGTATTTATGTGGACTAAAAAATATTTTCAATGTGCAGTCCAAACGGCGAGGTGGATTTTGACAAATGAGGTGTCGTTATTCTCAGCAGTGCAAGTGACACTGGAAAGATGAAAATTTTAATAAATTCAATATTGGGAAACAATAAATATAACTTTGAAACTACCACAGTCGGATTTTATTTATTGTGCTTGTAATTAATATCAATTTATTTTCAAACGACTTTTTTCTGACCTGAAATAATCGATTAAAAAAAAACGATGTTTGTAACTGAAGTCCCATCCCTGTCGCCGAGAGAGACCGGGACAGTCATTTGTTTCTTTTGACAAAAACTCCCACCTTCCCTTTATGGCTTGTCCCATTTTTTCGGCGAGTATGAATAACATTCGGATAAAAGTTACAAATGTACTTTTTGTCTCCTCTTTGTACAGATTTACGGGTGTCCATCAGTGGTGTTATCATTAAATACTCAACGCTGTGTTTTGTTTCATACGGCCCCATACAAACCGTTAATCACACATGCTATTTGGAGCTAATTTAGCTGTTTCAGTTCATAACTACTCATTAAGCGGTAAAATGTAATTGCTTCTGTGAACTTTCGTGAACATATTATTTATAAACACGCTTCTATATAGAGTTTTTGCATTCAGAGAAAAACAATTTTAATCGTGGACAGGTTTTCGGAACATCAAATAAACCAACTGGTTAAATATGAATCATAACTTCTGAAAACATGAAACGCCGATTATTAATTGAAATTAACCTGAAATTTATATTTCTTTTACCAATAAAAATAAATAAATCGAAAACGATTTCCCTGAAATTGTGTCACGCTGGTGCTGAGAGTGGTGAAACTTTTCACGAGCTAAAAGTGTGGCTAAGTGAGTTTGAGTGACGCGGTGACGTGGAGTATGGTGGCAGTAGATAGCACACACAGAGCATGGAATATCAAACTAGCGCGCCGCAACTATAGACGTTTTTCCAAAAGATTTGCTTCGCTGTGTTCAACCTAGTCACTTTTTTACTCTAATTATTACATCAAATGATATTATGACCACATTTTAAGGGCCTTACCACAAAACAGTTAGACCAGTTATCAACGCGTGTCTAGCGTTTATTTTGTATGAAGTTTTATTTTAAACACGCGTCTAACTTTTTTGTGCTAAGTTCTATCTTCAATTTGCTGACTAGGAACTGATTACCGTGTATGCGACTGTCGGTCACAACTCGGTAGTAATTCGATTCGCTGTATTATTATTACTTTCGTCTGTTGTAAACGCGAGACTAGCTGCTCTGTGGTAGTGGTAGCACATGTAGCTAGTGAGTAAAGATGGCTACTGTAGGTACAAAAAGATAGTCCGGTGTGTCCGGATAGTCCGGTCAGTCCGGTGCAGCATCCAGTGACGAGACGAAGATTGATGACTGCTGCTGTGACCGACGACACATACTGACGCCGCAGGATGTACAGGGTATTAAACAACATATACTTTAAATCTTGAACCAACGTCCGTTGACAACTTTAAAACTGATTACCATGAATGCGTCTGTCGGTCACATTTCGGAAATGATTCGACTCGCTGTATTATTATTACTTTCTTCTCGATTAGCAGCGAACCGCACGGTGCGACTTAAACGTGAGACTTTCTGCTCCGTGGTGACACATGTAGGTCATGTAGCTAGTGAGTAAAGATGGCTACTGACCTACTGTACAAAAAGATAGTCCGGTGTTTCCGGATAGTCCGGTCAGTCCGGTGCAGCATCCAGTGACGAGACGAAGATTGATGGCTGCTGCTGTGACCGACGACACATACTCACGCCGCAGGATATACAGGGTATTTAACAAAATATACTTTAAATCTTGAACAAACGACCCTTGACATCTTGCAAACTGATTACCGTGGATGCGTCTGACGGTCACAGCTTGGAACTAATTCGTCTCGCTGTATTATTATTACTTCCTTCTCGAGTAGCAGTGCACCGCGAGACTAGCTGCTCTGTGGTATCACATGTAGGCCATGTGGCTAGTGAGTAAAGATGGCTACTGACCTACTGTACAAGAAGATAGTCCAGTGTGTCGTGATAGTCCGGTCAGTCCGGTGCAGCATCCAGCGACGAGACGAAGATTGATAGCTGCTGCTGTGACCGACGACACACACTGACGCCGCAGGATATACAGGGTATTAAACAAAATGTACTTTAAATCTTGAACAAACGGTCACAGCTCGGAAATAATTCGACTCGCTGTATTATTATTACTTTCATCTGTAGTAGCGGCGCGTGGTGTGAATACGCGAGACTAGCTGCTCCGTGGTAGCACATGTAGGCCATGTAGCTAGTGAGTAAAGATGGCTACTGACCTACTGTACAAAAAGGTAGTCCGGTGTGTACGGCTACTGTTATAGGTACAAAAAGATAGTCCGGTGTTTCCGCATAGTCCGGTCAGTCCGGTGCAGCATCCAGTGACGAGACGAAGATTGATGGCTGCTGCTGTGACCGACGACACATACTGACGCCGCAGGATATACAGAGTATCAAACAAAATATACTTTAAATCTTGAACAAACGTCCGTTGACAACTTGAAAACTGATTACCGTATATGCAGCTATCGGTTGGAAATAATTCGACTCGCTGTATTATGATTACTTTCATCTCTAGTACCGGCGCGCGGTGTGAATACTCGAGATTAGCTGCTCTGTGGTAGCGCATGTAGGTCATGTAGCTAGTGAGTAAAGATGGCTACTGACCTACTGTACAAAAATATAGTCCGGTGTTTCCGGATAGTCCGGTCAGTCCGGTGCAGCATCCAGCTACGAGACAAAGATTGATGGCTGCTGCTGTGACCGACGACACATACTGACGCCGCAGGATATACAGGGTATTAAACAAAATATACTTTAAATCTTGAATAAACGGCCGATGACAACTTGCAAACTGATTACCGTGGATGCGTCTGTCGGTCACAATTCGGAAATAATTCGACTCGCTGTATTATTACTTTCATCTCTAGTAGCGGCGCGCGGTGTGAATACGCGAGACTAGCTGCTCTGTGGTAGCACATATAGGCCATGTAGCCAGTGAGTAAAGATGGCTACTGACCTACTGTACAAAAAGATAGTCCGGTGTGTCCGGATAGTCCGGTCAGTCCGGTGCAGCATCCAGCGACGAGACGAAGATTGATGGCTGCTGCTGTGACCGACGACACATACTGACGCCGCAGGATATACAGGGTATTAAACAAAATATACTTTAAATCTTGAACAAACGTCCGTTGTCAACTTGAAAACTGATTACCGTGGATGCGTCTGTCAATCACAGCTCGGAAATAATTCGACTCGCTGTATTATTATTACTTCCTTCTCGAGTAGCAGCGCACCGCGAGACTAGCTGCTCCGTGGTAACACATGTAGGCTATGTAGCTGGTGAGTAAAGATGGTTACTGTCCTACTGTACAAAAGATAGTCCAGTGTGTCCGGATAGTCCGGTCAGTCCGGTGCAGCATCCAGCGACGAGACGAAGATTGATGGCTGCTGCTGTGACCGACGACACATACTGGCGCCGCAGGATATACAGGGTATTAAACAAAATATACTTTAAATCTTGAACAAACATCCGTTGACAACTTGCAAACTAATTACCGTGGATGCGTCTGTCGGTCACAATTCAGAAGTAATTCGACTCGCTGTATTATTATTACTTTCGTCTCGAATAGCAGCGCGCGGTGTGAATACGCGAGACTAGCTGCTCCGTGATAGCAAATGTAGCCCATGTAGCTAGTAAGTGAAGATGGCTACTGTATAAAAAGATAGTCCGGTGTTTCCGGATAGTCCGGTCAGTCCGGTGCAGCATCCAGCAACTAGAAGAAGATTGATGGCTGCTGCTGTGACCGACGACACATACTGACGCCGCAGAATATACAGGGTATTAAAAAAAATGTACTTTAAATCTTGAACAAACGTCCGTTGTCAAATTGCAAACTGATTACCGTGGATATGTTTGTCGTTCACAACTCGGACATAATTCGACTCGCTGTATTATTATTACTTCCTTCTCGAGTAGCAGCGCACCGCACGGTGCGAATTAAACATGAGACTAGTTGCTCCGTGGTAGCACATGTAGAGGTAGGCTATGTAGCTAGTGAGTAAAGATGGCTACAGTAGGTACAAAAAGATAGTCCGGTGTTTCCGGATAGTCCGGTCAGTCCGGTGCAGCATCCAGCGAGGAGACGAAGATTGATGGCTGCTGCTGTGACCGACGACACATACTGAACCCGCAGGATATACAGGGTATTAACAACATGTTGTATTAAGATACTGGCAAACTATTCTGCTCCCAAACTTTTAAAACAGATGGTAGAGTCAAATTTATTTGTATTGTCAATAGAGTCATTTGATTGGCCGGTGTAACAAACTCTTTGATAACATAAACATTTGAAATATCTTATATTCTGATCAGGGCAATATTTGTACCTATACGTTTCAGCTAGATTCCTGCATATGTATATGACACAACACACCTCTACACAGAGAATTCTTTTTGAGGCTATGAGTGTGCCGTCGTATTAGCTTTTCTATTCTCAACCACAGGTGAATATCTATAGAGCAAGTTAGAAATAATGAAAATACCCATAAATTGAAAAATTCACTAGCGCCCGCCGGGACTTGAACCCGGGACTGTGGATCACATTTCCACCGCTCTGCAAACTGAGCTACGGGCACCTAGCGGACCCTGGTGAATTACTCAACCTCTATTTAGTTGTAAAAACTACTACTAGATGTCAAAAACGAGCATCAAGAGGTTGAGAAATTCACCAAATCCACAGTCCCGGGTTTAAGTTCCGGCGGTGCTAGTGAAATTTCTCATTTTCAATTAATGAGAATAATATAGCGCTGTGAGTGCATTAAAAAGTCCTACACTCTTTCGATGAAGTATTTTACATCCTGTATGTGTCAGGGCCGGATCTAGTGGACGGAGTGATAGATGGCCAGCTTTTAGACACTGACTGGCTTGTTATCTACTTTATAACGATGTCACATTTTGATAGACTTGACTGACGGGTTATCTGAAGTGATAAAACACTTTACAATAGATATCTCCCTTTCCCTTTATTGCAAAATGTTGGTTTCCTTAGAACACACTAAGATTCTAAGATCTGCATGATTGATGATCACCATGTAACATGGTGTCCTACGATTGTTAAAATTTCGCAAACGTCACCATCCATCAGCCAATCCATCCTGGCGGGAAGCAGTTCTTTTCATTCCATTTTTAAATTGTGCAAGTCGTTGTCGTGACAGTGCTGCGTGCGCGCCGAGATTGATGTCGGCCCGAGAGGAGGCGACGGGGATAAATGACTAGATTATTTTGGTTAATTACCCCCCTCCTCTTTCGGCAGACCTCTCCCCCCTTCGCCCTCGGCCGGCGACGGTCGCGTGTTTTTGCGCGCTGATGTATCGCCGTCAGGAACTTCCTGGACCGTGTATCCGCGACATTATGAGTTAATTACACAGCAGAAATTCCCCCAACAAAAAATATCACCAAAAACACGAGCAAAATATCACAGCGCCAGAATCTAATAAACTGATATCTATGTAAGTAAATATTCTAGGAATGCGATTACAAAAACAGTACACGGCAATATCACACCGAGTCGCGATATTGAAGCAGACGTTACTCCTGCCGAAATCCGAGTGAAATGGTTTTGTGTACTTCCACGTAAATAGAATGAAAAATGTGTTGACACATGTTGTGTGATGTTGATGTGAAAAAACGAGATAACATGTGTGATATGCTCTCAGCTTCGCAGGTACCGGGTGACGTCATATTACATTCTCGGATGAAATGATCAAAGCGCGTTGCCTTCAGGGTATGACTTAATACCTTCGCTGTTCCTTTAAGGTGAATGAAATATAAAGAGCATCGAAGCCAGGACGTATCTCGTTTATTCAAGTAGAGGGGTGACCGCTTTAAAAACAAAGCGGGCGGCGCCGTCCTAAGCAAATGTTTGCGCGGAAGTCCACGCCGAGGAGCGACCTTATGAAGGGAACAATCTACACGCTTCTACACCCTTTAAACATAGGCAAGGGCAAAGTGTAAAGATGCCAATACGAATAACATTATACTTTTAACTATCAAGAAACCAGTCATGACTACCTTGATTTAAACAAACTTTCTTTGTAACGTTTCCATCAAAAACTAAAGACAATAATTAAAGAGGCTTGAAAGCCAGAAAGTAATTCATTTACCTACTGAAGTAATTAAATATTAATCAATTTACTGTTTATTTCTGGGAAATGGTGCCTTTTTGATGAAGAGACACAGTCCAGCGAGTTCTTGGTAAAAAGGTACGAAATAAAAATCAACTACTTAAATGGACTGGATCAGAGTTCTAGGAAACCATCTACTAAGTCTCCCGAAAATTATAACTTCCCAGAAAAGTCGATATTCAAATTATTTATTTATTAAGTAATTGTCACTAATTGAATTTAATTTAGTTAATTAATGTTTTTATGATTTATAAACCAAAAAGCTGTCATTGTTGAAAACTAAAAATGTTGTTAAAATAGGTAACAAATCGACAAATTGGAGGTGAAAGCTAACGAATGTATTGTGCTTGTCTGTACCTTTCAGCTTTTTCGTGTCACGAAAAGCCCTGATTTATAAAAGCTACCTGTCCGCGTAGACACCTAAAGAATGTTTAATATGAGGTGCTAGAAAATGTATAGATACCTAAAGATATAAGAAAAATCGACCAAATGCGAGTTGAACTCGCGCACGAACGGAGCTGTAGGTACTTCAAAATTGCATTAAAATCGCGCTTATTGTAATCCGCGCCCTCCTTAATTTCTTTTGTATTTTTCGTCATAGTGGCAATATTAATTCAAGTTCTGTGAAAATTTCAACAGTCAAACTAATACGGTTTACGAGATACAGCCTAGTGACAAACGGACAGACACAAAGACAGCGAAGTCTCAGATAGGGTTCCGTTTTCACCATTTGGGTACGGTACCCTAAATATGTGTCTTTGTATAAAACAGGGAAGTGAAGTATGACGAAGAAAGAAACTTCTTCGAATTGACCTTGGCATCCCTAAAGATTAAATTACATCAGCAGTAATACTTTGTAAGTGAAAGTTCCCGACGCCGGCTTGGCTGACTGTAACCTAATACTGTTTTCCAGAATAGAAGCTCCCGTTACATCAAAAGCTTTCGGACACAACTTTTCCGGTTTGCAATTATGTAAAGTTCAGGGAAGTTGTACGATTCACTGAACTGTATTTTGTGCAGACCTTGAAACCTTGTAAGCATCTATGTTATTCGATCGTGATTATAAACATTTGAGAAGATAAAATAAGAGGTTACCCACTTCTTTTCAAATCCGCTTCACATGAATGTCCAGATGGTAATATAGTGACAAAACATTTTAAAGTTAAGTAACATCCATCCATATAGGTATTCAGCATATTTTCCATACTCACCGCACTTAGCAGGAGATTGGCGAGCGCAGTGCAAGGTGTTTCCTATTTCCTTGAGGTCCTTTCGTGGTCTGATTTACGACTTTCATGTTCAGAAATTGAGTGGCACTATTTTAAGTCATCATCATTCGACATGGTTAGTTGAGTAAGTTTTTCTCGAAGGTAGATAGGTTTATTTTCTTTTTCTAGCGCCAAAGGAAATCATTTGAATAACGAGAACTTTTCACGAAGAAGTGGATTGTGTTTACAAGTCCCCTTCTTTCATGTCTGTGTGTCGTATCGGTGACATCGCGTGCTAGTGTGCGTGTCCGCGAGCAGTTCTAACAGATCCTCCATCAAGTCTGAAATACATATTATTCGGTCCCTGGGAATGTCTCCATGCAATCTGAATGTAAATACCATACGAGAATTATTTAATGCATCATCGTGTGAAGTCAGGCTATGTGGCGTGTCGCGTGCCCTCGGTGTAAAACCTTCCTTACCTCTCTTATTGCTTTTATCAAATAAAAATCCAAGTTTGTATTTGCGTGGGACATTGTAAAGGCTGGAACACACGCGCGACAATGAAACGCTATGTGGATATTCGGCTTCCTCGATTTTACTATTGGATTTTATGCGAGTATTTGAAACTAGTTTTACAAGAATCTGTTTGGAACGATGCTATAAACGAAAATGTTGCGTGTTGTTGCAAGAGAATGGGAGTTTGTAATGTAAACTGGAAGGGTGTCTATCGCTTTGTATATAGATTAAGGCGCTAGTGAGAGTGACCACAGGACCAGCGTATAGATAAGCCCGGTGTCCACCCTGGACTAAACCCTCTTTATAAAGGGTTTACTCGATGTTTAATCTGTAGCAACTTGCTCTAAATGGTTCTGCTTTCACACTGTTGTGACTTTTGATTGCGACGAATTTCGCGCCCAAACGACCTTCTTCCATTATTATGGTAATGAAATGGACAATCTTTTGGGGTTTTAATTTCTTATCGTATAATTTAACAAAGTTTTAGTAACTTTTCATCAACTGAGAAGATCGAGTTATTGCAATTATCAAGGGCAAACTTTAGGTTTTTAATGAAAAGTGAGAGAAAATTTAAAAAGTGGTTCAAAATAACAAATCAGATGAAATCGCTAGGCGGCACCTAAGTTAATAGGTAGTATCTATATGTATCTGTGCAACCTTCTCTTAGGTAGGTACCTACCTACTTCATTGACGTAGTAAGTATTTTGAAATGTAGATTATCCAAACGTATGACGCAGTATATCGTAACAGGCATGTCCTAAATTAGCGTCGGCTCATTGGTCGCACATAACGACCTGTGTGATCGTCGGTCGCAAATGACAGATCCCTTGTGAGCCCTAAAACTAACTAATCCTGCATTTCAACTACTCCCATTAAGAGATCTACTTATACTGGTCATACTTAGTAATGACTATATGGAGAACCAAACAACACTGATCCCTTAATGGAGTACGAACTTTTGTTGATACCTCGTAATCAGCAGCAAATCAACCTTTCCGGTTAAGGGACCAACTCAAGCTGGTTTTTCCTTCAAATTGTTTGTTAAATGACATACATCACGCCTTGCGGGGTAGGCAGAGCTTAAACGGCTGTAAAACGGCCATTTACACCACCATACAGAAAACTGTGTGTCACAAAAGCGACAGGTTGTCAGCCTGTCGCCTAAAATTGCAATACACATCAACTCTCAAATCCCAAAGTCGCTTCTTACGACACCCACGGGAAAGACATGGGTTGATGCTACTCTAAGCCGGCACCACACGGCAAAACGAGCTGAATTTCTTAAATGAGCAGGTTGAAATATCATTCAGCTGACACCAGACTGTGAATTCGCAGTGACCTTGTCGTGGGATTTGCGGCCACTCAGCCCCGCTGTAATATACGACGTCGCTACGACAAAGTTAGTGCGCCTGTCCTTACTTTGAAATAGTGAAACGTGGGATAAAGTGTTGAACGATCCATTACTTAGTTTAACGCAAACGCTTATAATCCTTTGATTTATCGAGGGTTGCGGGGATCAGTTCTTTAATAGTATCATATTTTGTTTAGTAAACGAGACACTTTGGAAAATTACAGAGGAAAAATGAATCCCTTTACTCCAAATCCAACCTTTTTAGGAACACGTAAGGACAAATTCAACATCAATAACAAGAACATCAGACACAACAATCTACTGATAGACGTGGGTCTCTCCCGATTTGATTTGGCAGTTTTACCTATACGGAC